CAGAAATCACATTGCGTCAACATCCGTTGGGACCATCGCAATGCTTTGTTTTAATTAAACAGTCGGATTCCCCTTGTCCGCACTAGTTCTGAGTCGGCAGTTTGATGCTTAGGGAGAGTCHGACGGCCCCACCCGAAAGGTGGGGACATAAGACATTCTACGCCCGTCGGCACACTGGCACGCGGGTTCCGCCCTCGCCGCGAGAGCAGCTCGGGCAGACCACCGACAGCCAACGACATCGAGGCGCAGACCCCTAGGCCCAGCSCTCAGAGCCAATCCTTTTCCTAAGGTTATGTATCCATATTGCCGACTTCCCTTACCTACATTCTTCCTATGGCCAAAGGCTGCTCACCTAGGAGACCTGATGGGTTTTGAGTACGGCCGGGCGTGAGAGGTACCCGCAGCTCCAGATTTTCAAGGGCCGTCGGGGGCGCGCTGGACACCACAGGACGTGTGGTCCTTTGCCGGGCGCTGCACCCTATCTCCGGTTGATCCGATTCCAGGGTGGGCGAGCCGTCAAGAAGGAAAGAGAACCCTCCCCACGGCCCTCGCCGACATTTCCGGAGCTGCTTACATTACCGTCCACCTCCACGACCCGGTTCGGGAATATTAACCCGACCCCCTTTCGATGTGCGGCGCGCAGTGCGCCCTTGATACAAGGTTTCCACATCTCTTAGGGTCGACTAACCCATGTCCAAGTGCTGTTCACATGGAACCCTTCTTCACTTCGGTCTTCAAAGTTCTCATTTGAATATTTGCTACTACCACCAAGATCTGCACCGGGACCCGCTTCACCAAGGCTCACGCTCCAGGCTTCGCAGCAGGCCCCGCGCCCTCCTACTCGTCGCGGCTTTAGAATCGCCGCGACGGCCGGGCATAGGTCGCGCATTTCCGCGCCATCCATTTTCGGGGCTGATTGATTCGGCAGGTGAGTTGATATAAACTCCTTAGCGGATTTCGACTTCCATGACCACCGTCCTGCTGTCTGTATCAATCAACACCCTTTGTGGTGTCTCGGTTAGCTCGCAGTTAGGCACCGTAGCTCCACGTTCGGTTCAGCAACCCCGAAATCTTACCTATTTAAAGTTTGAGAATAGGTCGAGGGTGTTTCACCCCCGAGGCCTCTAATGATTCGCTTTACCCGATAAACCTGTTCAACAGCTCCAGCTATCCTGAGGGAAACTTCGGAGGGAACCAGCTACTAGACGTTTCGATTAGTCTTTCGCCCCTATACCCAAGTCCGACGAACGATTTGCACGTCAGTATCGCTGCGAGCCTCCACCAGAGTTTCCTCTGGCCTCGCCCTGCTCAGGCATAGTTCACCATCTTTCGGGTCCCAACGGGCATGTTCACACCCAAACCTCTCACAGCAGATCGTGGTTGGCGGACGGTGCACCCACAGAGGGTTCCCGCCACTCTGGTTTCTTCCGGCTCGTGGGCTAATCACCCACCGGCTCGCATGCACGTTGAACTCTTCGGTCCGTGTTTCAAGACGGGCAGGATAGAGGAATTTCGCCGGCATCGCGAACACCCAAGAACCCGAACGGGCCCGCCGAAAGAGGCGCGTGCTCAAGGTCCTCGACTGCCGTGATGGCCACCCGTGGGGGGTTTCAATCGCTCCCCACCGCAATGCCGGTCACAGCAGCCCATGCTGGCAGGCAACCCACGTCCAACAAGGGGGGCGACAACACAGTTGCCGTCCACCCCATCCCAGACAGGAGCGCGCGATTTCCCCTCCATCCGCTTCTCGCTTGGCAATTTCAAGCACTCTTTAAMTCTCTTTTCAAAGTTCTTTTCATCCTTCCCTCGCGGTACTTCTTCCCTATCGGTCCCTTGCACATATTCAGCCTTGGATAGGACTTACCACGCAATTGGGGCTGCATTCCCAAGCAACCCGACTCTTGGACTACACCTCGTTGCGCAGCAGGGTCTGGCGGTCGACGGGGCTGTCACCCTCTTCGGTGTCCCCTTCCAGGGAACCTGCACACGGCCCACTGCAGAGGTTGCCTCTCAAGACTACAATTCAGGGAGCAACACAGCCCCCGGATTTTCAGTCTGGGCTATTCCCGGTTCGCTCGCCGCTACCAAGGGCATACTCGTTGGTTTCTCTTCCTCCGCTTAGTTATATGCTTAAATTGGGCGGGTGCTCCCGCCCGACCTGAGATCAAAAGGCAAGGCTCGACGTACCTCCACAGCTCGAGGCCGACACCCCSAACCGCAAGCCCACCTCAAGCTGATGGGAGCGAACGGAAGGAGGCGACCAAACAAACCGGAGGGATGACCTTACGTGTCGTTTTCAGGGAAATGAAGACCACCACCCACAAACGGGTGCTGGAGGGCAACAACAGGACGGAGCCAAACACACCAGTCTGGGCTGCGGCCCCCACAGGCCCGCTYGGAATGCTCTCCAATTCCCTTCCACTTTAGGCTATCTACGCTCTCCAAGTGGGAAGCGAGGGAAGCCACAACCATGGACCCCACCACTCACCGAAACGGAAGGCGCTGAGGTTGTGACGAATCCAATGATGCTCAGGCGCGCGTGCCCTCGGCAGAAGCCTCGGGCGCCACGTGCGTTCAAGGTATCGATGGCTCACTGGGTAACCTCGATGGTTCAATGTATCGATGGCTCAAGATATCGATGGCTCAGGCGGGCTTGCCCTCGGCAGAAGCCTCGGGCGCCACGGCAAATGGCTCATTAAATCAGTTATCATTTATTTGGTGGTCTCCTTACCACTCGGATAACCGTGGTAATTCTAGAGCTAATACGTGCAGCATATCCCGACTTCTGGAAGGGATGTATTTATTGGATAAAAGGCCGATCC